CAACCTAACGTAGCCTAGCTAAACCCAACCTAACCTAACTAAACCCAACCTAACCTAACTAAACTTAACCCAATCTAACCCAACCCAATGTAACCCAACCTAACCTTACTCAGCCTAACCTAACCTAACCCAGTCTAACCTACCTAAACCCAATCTGCCCAACTCATCCTAAATTGACTAAACTCAACCCACCCAACCTAACATAACTCAAGCTAAGCTAATTCGACTCAACCTAACCTAACCTAATTCAACCTAACCTAACCTAATTCAACCTAACCTAACCTAACTCAACCTAACCTAATTCATCTTAACCTAATTCAACCTAACCCACCTAATTCAGTGTAACCTAACCTAATCAAACTCACCCTAACCTAACCTAACCTAACCTTAACTCAACCTAACCTAACCCAGTGTAACCCTAAAACAAACACACACACACACACACACACACACACACACCACACACACACACACACACACACACACACACACCACACACACACACACCACACACACACATATAGTGGTGTGTGTGTGGTGTGTGTGTGTGTGTGTGTGTGTGTGTTAACACATCGGTCGCTTCCCACCAAGGCAGGATGGCCCGATAAAGAAAAATTTTAATCATTCACTCCATCTCTCTTTCCAGAGGTGCACTTACACTACAGTTATAAAACTGCAACATTAACACCCCTCCTTCAGAGTGCAGACACTGTACTTCCCATCTCCAGGACTCAAGTCCGGCCTGCCGGTTTCCCTGAATCCCTTCATATATATTACCTAGCTCACACTCCAACAACACGTTAAGTCCTAAAAACCATGTCTCCATTCGATCCTATCTAACAGTCACGCATGCCTGCTGGAAGTCCAAGCCCCTCGTACACAAAACCTTTACCCCCTCCCTCCAACCTCTCCTAGGCCGACCCCTAACCGCCTTGCTTCTGCTACAGATTTATACACTCTTGAAGTCATTCTATTTCGCTCCATTCTCTCTACATGTCCGCACCACCTCAACAACCCCTCCTCAGCCCTCTGGACAACAGTTTTGGTAATCCCGCACCTCCTCCTAATTTCCAAACTACGAATTCTCTGCATTATATTCACACCACACATTGCCCTCAGACACAACATCTCCACTGCCTCCAGCCTTCTCCTTGTTGCAACATTCATCATCCATGCTTCACACCCATTTAAGAGCGTTGGTATTGCTATACTCTCATACATGTATGTTTGTATGTATGCATGTATATGGACGTAGAGACAATGTAAATAATTTCGCCTGTTTGCGAATTGTTAAATAAATATATAAATATATATATTTTATATATATATAATATAAATAAAATATATATATATAAAATATATATATAAATATATATGTTTTTTTGTGTGTTTTGGGGTGCCGAATATGTAAAACTGGTAAATTTTAGCAAGAACTCATTTAAAATTAAGTCCTTTCTAAAATTTTCTCTTATACGTTTAAAGATGTAAAAATTCATAATTTTGCACCAAAAGGAACTTAGAAAACTTACCTAAGCTTATTATAACAAGCGCAATTTCTTTTAGCCTAACCCAACTAAATATATTTTAGATTTGTTTACAGTAATTTAATACTAAACAAACATAGTGAAATATATATTTTTCGTTAGGTTCAGAATGATTTTGGCGAAATTATTGCATACACAAATTTTCACTTGTCCTATATGGCAAGATGAGCGTTGCTATTTAAGCCAAGATCGCAAGTTCTGCCTATTCGGCACGACACACACACACACACACACACACACACACACACACACACACACACACACACACACACACACACACACACACACTATATATATGTGTGTGTGTGTGTGTGTGAACAGTATTTAGAAAAAATATATATATTTGAACAGTATTTAGATAATGGTTGGGAAGTTTTTATTGCATTTATGGATTTAGAAAAGGCATATGATGGTGGATAGGGGAGCAATGTGGCAGATGTTGCTAATATGTGGAATAGGTGGTAAGTTACTAAATGCTGTAAAGAGTTTTTATGAGGATAGTGAGGCTCAGGTTAGGGTGTGTAGAAGAGAGGGAGAATACTTCCCGGTAAAAGTAGGTCTTAGACAGGGATGTGTAATGTCACCATGGTTGTTTAATATATTTATAGATGGGGTTGTAAAAGAAGTAAATGCTAGGGTGTTCGGGAGAGGGGTGAGATTAAATTATGGGCAATCAAGTATGAAATGGGAGTTGACAGTTACTTTTTGCTGATGATACTGTGCTTATGGGAGATTCTAAAGAAAAATTGTCAAGGCTAGTGGACGAGTTTGGGAGTGTGTGTAAAGGCAGAAAGTTGAAAGTGAACATATATAAGAGTAAGGTGATGAGGGTATCAAATGATTTAGATAAAGAAAAATTGGATATAACATTGGAGAGAGGGAGTGTGGAAGAAGTGAATGTTTTCAGATATTTGGGAATTGACGTGACAGCGGATGAATTTATGAAGGATGAGGTTAACCATATAACTGATGAAGGGAAAAAGGTGAGTGGTGCGTTTAGGTATATGCGGAGACAAAAAACATTATCTATAGAGGCAAAGAAGGGAATGTATGAAAGTACAGTAGTACCAACACTCTTATATGGGTGTGAAGCTTGGATTGTAAATGCTGCAGCTGGGAGCGGTTGGAGGCAGTGGAGATGTACTGTCTAAGGGCAACGTGTGGTGTAAATATTATCCATAAAATTCGGAGTGTGGATATTAGGAGGTGTGGAGTTAATAAAAGTATTTGTCAGACGGCTGAAGAGGGTTTGTTGAGGTGGTTTGGTCATTTAGAGAGAATGGATCAAAGTAGAATCACTTGGAGAGCGTTTAAATCTGTAGGGGAAGGAAGGCGGGGTAGGGGTCGTCCTCGAAAAGGTTGGAGGGAGGGAGAAAAGGAGGTTCCTGACGAGCTGTTGGAGTGAGAGCAGGGTAATATTTAGTGAAGGATTCAGGGAAACCGGTTATTTTTATATAACCGGACTTGAGTCCTGGAAATGGGAAGTACAATGTCTGCACTTGAAAGGAGGAGTTTGGGATATTGGCAGTTTGGAGGGATATGTTGGGTATCTTTATATGTGTATGCTTCTAAACTCTTGTATTCTGAGCACCTCTGCGAAGACAGTAATTATGTGAGTGAGGTGAAAGTGTTGAATGATGATGAAAGTATTGTCTTTTTGGGGATTTTCTTTCTTTTTGGGTCACCCTGCCTCGGTGGGAGACTGCCGCGTGTGTGTGTGTGTGTGTATTTATATATATATAATATATATATATATATATATATATATATTATATATATATAATATATATATATATATATATATATATATATATATATATATATATGCATGTATGTATGTACCACCTCACCTCTATAACTGGACATACATACATTCACATAAGAATACATACATACGTTAATTTTAATAACTCTCCACACCCATGTAGCTGCAGGGATACATTGTGATGTGTGTGTGTGTGTGTGTGTTGTATGTGTGTGTGTATAACATGTTAGTAGTAGATATTAACTGATGTTAGTCATTTGAACGTTAAATATTAACAGGTACATAAACTAATGTTATCGTCATGTTAACATGACACATTAACAAGTGTTAACCATTGTTAACGGTTGTTATCTGTTTATTATCTTTCTTTTTTTATTTTACTTCCTTTATCTTTTATTCTGTGTTGTGATGTGTATTTTTATTATTAATGTTACATATATATGCCACTTTACTCCCTTGAATTACCTATTGAATTTTATTTTTGAATCTGATTTATTTTTTAATAGATTTGGTCAGTTATATATATATATATATATATATATATATATATATATATATATATATATATATATATATATATATATATATATATATATATATATATATATATAATTACCATTTTTGGGAAATTTTAACTAATAATTATTTAACTTTGCTCCGTTTTTTTTGTCTTCCTCCTCCTCCTCTTTCCTAATTCCTTCTTATTTTCCTCCTCAATTCTTCTCTCTTTTTCTTACTCTTCTCCGTTTATCATCCTTATTGCCTTCTTCTTTTCACCCTTCCTTCTATCTCTTTACCTCTTTCTTCTCCTTACTTCTGTCTGTCTTCCCCCACCTCCCTCCCTCCCTTCCTGTGTGCCCCTGGTGGTGCTGCTGGTGGTGCTGCTGGTACTACTGGTGGTGGTACTACTGGTGCCACTACTGGGCACTACTGGTACTACTGGTGGTGGTGCTGGTACTACTGGTGGTGGTACTACTGGTGGCACTGCTGGACACTACTGGTACTACTGGTTGTTGTGGTACTGCTGCTGGTACTACTGGTGGTACTACTGGTGGTGGTGGTGCTGGTACTACTGGTGGCACTCATGGGTACTCTACTGGTACTACTGCTGGTGCTGATACTACTGGTGGTACTACTGGTGGCACTGCTGGGCACTACTGGTACTACTGGTGGCACTACTGGGCACTACTGGTACTACTGGTGGTGGTGGTATTACTGGTGATACTACTGGTGGCACTCATGGGCACTACTGGTACTACTGGTGGTGGTGGTGCTGATACTACTGGTGGCACTGCTGGGTACTACTGGTACTACTGGTGGCACTACTGTGCACTACTGGTACTACTGGTGGTGGTGCTGATACTACTGGTGGCACTACTGGGCACTACTGGTACTACTGGTGGTGGTGCTGATACTACTGGTGGTGGTACTGGTGGCACTGCTGGGCACTACTGGTACTACTGGTGGCACTACTGATACTACTGGTGGCACTACTGGTACTACTGGTGGCACTACTGGTACTACTGGTGGTGGTGGTGCTGGTACTACTGGTGATGGTACTACTGGTGGCACTCATGAACACTACTGGTGGTACTACTGGTACTACTGGTGGTGGTGGTACTACTGGTGGTACTACTGGTGGCACTGCTGGGCACTACTGGTACTACTGGTGGTGGTGGTAACTAAGACAGACAGAAACAGCGCTGATGTACGACGCTGTGAAGTTGTTCGTGCTGGCCATCCAGGCGCTGGATAACTCAACTGACGTTCAGCTGACATCACTAGTGTGTGAGGGCGAAGTCTCCTGGGACCATGGTAACTCACTTATTAACTACATGAAGCTGGTAAGTACTGACTAACCCTACCAGTGAGTCAGTGAGGGTGTGAGTGAGGGTGTGAGTGAGGGTGCAAGTGAGGGTGCAAGTGAGGGTGCAAGTGAGGGTGCAAGTGAGGGTGCAAGTGAGGGTGCAAGTGAGGGTGCAAGTGAGGGTGCAAGTGAGAGGTGCAGTGAGGGTAGGCAAGGAGGGTGCAAGTGAGGGAGCAATGAGGGTGCAAGTGAGGTGAAGTGAGGTGCAAGTGAGGTGCAGAGGTAGTCAAGTGAGGTTGCAATGAGGGTGCAAGTGAGGTATAATTGAGGTGCAATGAGTGCAAGGAGGTGAAGTGAGGTGTCAATGAGGTTGCAAGTAGGCAAGTGAGGGTGCAAGTGAGGTGCAAGTGGGTACAAGTGAGGGTGCAAGTGAGGTTGCAATTAGGTGCAAGTGAGGGTGCAAGTGAGTGCAAGTAGTTGTGAGTGCAAGGAGAGGTTGCAATTGAGTGCAAGTAGGGTGCAAGTAGGTGCAATGAGGTTGCAACAGTGAGGGTCAAGTGTAGGTATGAGGTGCAATGAGGGTGCAAGTGAGGTTGCAAGTGAGGTGCAAGTGAGGGTGCAGTGAGGGTACAAGTTGAGGTGCAGTGAGGTGCAAGTGAGGGTACAATTGAGGGTGCAAGTGAGGGTGCAAGTGAGGGTCAAGTGATTGCCAAGTGAGGTAAGAGGGTCAAGTGAGGTGCAAGTAGGTGCAGTGAGGTCAATGAGTGCAAGTGAGGTTGCATACAAGTGAGGGTCAAGTGAGGTGAAGTGGTCCAAGTGAGGGTGCAAGTGAGGTGCAAGTAGGTGCAAGTAGGTGCGCACGTGAGGGTGAGGAGGGTGCAGTGAGAGTTATGCTAGAGTGTGAGTGAGAGTTGATGTGGAGTGAACAGGTGTGATGAGGGACGGTGTAAGGGAGTAAGAGTGAGGTGAGAGGTATTAATTATTGCTACACAGGTGAGAGGTATTAATTATTGTTACACAGGTGAGAGGTATTAATTATTGCAACACAGGTGAGAGGTATTAGTTATTGCTACACAGGTGAGAGGTATTAGTTATTGTCACAGGTGAGAGGTATTAATTATTGTTACACAGGCGAGAGGTATTAATTATTGCCACACAGGTGAGAGGTATTAATTATTGCCACACAGGTGAGAGGTATTAATTATTGCCACACAGGTGAGAGGTATTAATTATTGCCACACAGGTGAGAGGTATTAATTGCCACACAGGTGAGAGGTATTAATTATTGCCACACAGGTGAGAGGTATTAATTATTGCTACACAGGTGAGAGGTATTATTTTGCACACAGGTGAGAGGTATTAATTTTGCCACACAGGTAGAGAGGTATTATTTGCACACAGGTGAGAGGTATTAATTATTGCCACACAGGTGAGAGGTATTAATTATTGCCACACAGGTGAGAGGTATTAATTATTGCCACACAGGTGAGAGGTATTAATTATTGCTACGCAGGTAAGAGGTATTAATTATTGCCACACAGGTGAGAGGTATTAATTGCCACACAGGTGAGAGGTATTAATTTGCACACAGGTGAGAGGTATTAGTTAATGCTACACAGGTGAGAGGTATTAATTATTGCCACACAGGTGAGAGGTATTAATTATTGCTACACGTGTGAGAGGTATTAATTATTGCCAAACAGGTGAGAGGTATTAATTATTGCTACACAGGTGAAAAGTATTAATTGACACACATTTGAGCGGTATTAGTGTTGTCACACAGGTGAGAGGTATTAGGGTTGTCACACAGGTGAGAGGTATTAGGGTTGTCACACAGGTGAGTGGTATTAGTGTTGTCACACAGGTGAGTGGTATTAGTGTTGTCACACAGGTGAGAGGTATTAGTGTTGTCACACAGGTGAGAGGTATTAGTGTTGTCACACAGGTGAGAGGTATTAGTGTTGCCACACAGGTGAGAGGTATATTAGTGTTGTCACACAGGTGAGAGGTATATTAGTGTTGTCACACAGGTGAGAGGTATTAATGTAGTGTTGTCACACAGGTGAGAGGTATTAATTAGTGTTGTCACACAGGTGAGAGGTATTAGTGTTGTCACACAGGTGAGAGGTATTAGTGTTGTCACACAGGTGAGAGGTATTAGTGTTGTCACACAGGTGAGAGGTATTAGGGTTGTCACACAGGTGAGAGACATTAATTATTGCCACACATATGAGAGGTATTAATTATTGATACACAGGTGAGAGGTATTAATTAGTGTTGCCACACAGCTGAGAGGTATTAATTAGTGTTGTCACACAAGTGAGAGGTATTAATTAGTGTTGTCACACAGGTGAGAGGTATTAATTAGTGTTGCCACACAGGTGAGAGGTATTAGTGTTGTCACACAGGTGAGAGGTATTAATTAGTGTTGTCACACAGGTGAGAGGTATTAATTAGTGTTGCCACACAGGTGAGAGGTATTAGTGTTGCCACACAGGTGAGAGGTATTAATTAGTGTTGCCACACAGGTGAGAGGTATTAATTAGTGTTGTCACACAGGTGAGAGGTATTAATTAGTGTTGTCACACAGGTGAGAGGTATTAGTGTTGTCACACAGGTGAGAGTATTAATTAGTGTTGTCACACAGGTGAGAGGTATTAATTAGTGTTGTCACACAGGTGAGAGGTATTAATTAGTGTTGTCACACAGGTGAGAGGTATTAATTAGTGTTGTCACACAGGTGAGAGGTATTAATTAGTGTTGTCACACAGGTGTGGAGGTATTAATTGTGTTGTCAAAACAGGTGAGAGGTATTAATTAGTGTTTTCACACAGGTGAGAGGCATTAATTAGTGTTGCTACACAGGTGAGAGGTATTAGTGTTTTCACACAGGTGAGATGTATTAGTGTTGCCACACAGGTGAGAGGTATTAGTGAGTGTTGTCACACAGGTGAGAGGTATTAATTAGTGTTTTCACACAGGTGAGAGGCATTAATTAGTGTTGCTACACAGGTGAGAGGCATTAATTAGTGTTGCCACACAGGTGCAGCTACAGGGACTGACTGGTCACATAGAGTTCGATGCTCTGGGCTTCAGGACTGACTTCACTCTGGACATCGTTGAGCTGGGCATGGAGAACCTCACCAAGGTAGGTGTTCCCTCCTTCACTTATTCCTGGACTCTACTATTTCCTTCTCGCCCTCCCATACTTCCTTAATCTCCCTCTGTCTTATTCCTTCCCTACTTTTCTCTCTCTCTCTCTCTCTCCTCCTCTCTCCTCTCCTCTCTCTCTCACTCTCTCTCTCTCTCTCTCCTCTCTCTCTCTCTCTCTCTCTCTCTCCTTTCTTCCCCCTCCTCTCACTTCGGTTTATTTTTTCTTTCCCCTATTCGTCTAAATTGCCTTTTATTTTCCCTTTTCCACCTCTCTACTCATTCCTATTCCCCTCCTCTACTCTCTCCTTTCCTAAAAGGGGACTCTCTCTTCCTTCATTCCCCTCATCCTACTTCTCTCCTATAATCCCCCCCCTTTACCTATTCTTCCCCTTAAAATCTCTTCATCTCATCATACTGTTCCCCCCCCTCAGGGGCTTATCTCCTCCTTTCCCCCTCATTGGGGATTCCCCATAATTTCCGGGGTAAAATTCTGGTTACTAGTACTTGTAAATCCACCTCAAGGTACTACTCAATTCCTTAAATCCCCTCAAGGACTACATCAGTACTTAAATCACCTCAAGGTACTCCCTCAGTCCTTAAATCCACTCAAGGGACAAACATCAGTACCTTAAAATCCACCTAAAGGGGGTACTACATCAGTCCCTTTAAAATTCCACCTCAAGGGAACTACTCAGTACCTTAAATCCACCTCAAGGGTACTACATCTTTTACCTTAAACCCTTTCAAGGGTACTACATCAGTCCTTTTAAATCCACCTCAAGGGGTACTACATCAGTACCTGTAAATCCACCTCAATGGTACTACATCAGTACATGTAAATCCACCTCAAGGGTACTACATCAATACCTGTAAATCCACCTCACAGGGACTACATCAGTACTTGTAAATCCACCTCAAGGGGACTACATCAGTACCTGTAAATCCACCTCATTGGGATTACATAAGTGCCTGTAAATCCACCTTAAGGGTACTACATCAATACCTGTAAATCCACCTCAAAGGGTACTACATCAGTACCTGTAAATCCACCTCAAGGGTACTACATCAGTACCTGTAAATCCACCTCAAGGGTACTACATCAGTACCTGTAAATCCACCTCAAGGGTACTACATCAGTACCTGTAAATCCAGAGAAAATCACTTAGTGTGTGGTTCTCGGCTTTATAATTCACACAGGTCATCTGATTAGTGATTTTTGATCAGCTGAAGTCTGTGCTCTTATTGCTCTCACTTCAAATCATCAGTTTTGATGAGTTCATTCTTGTGGGGAGGATATTATGAGTGTTGTGCACCAGGCTGGTTGTTTTATCTGGGGCGCTAGACTTCGGCAGGGTATAACGGCAAAAAAGGGGATTGATAGACATTGTTATGGAATAATAGGCATTGACAAGGAACGATACAGTAGGAGGACCCGACGAGGAATACATGACGCTCTCGGAGTCATCATGATAAAACTGTGTATTCTCTCTCGTCTCTTCCTTTACTTCTGTTCCTCCTTCTTGATGTAGTTACCCCTTCACTTGGTTCCTCAGTGGTACATTCTTCTCAGTGGCCTGTATGAATGTTGACACTGAATCAGACATACACGTGAATGTTGTAGCCAGGAGTACATAGCTTCCCCAGGCAGGGAAGAGATGCCTGGGCAAGTGTAATACATACGGCACAGGATTATGTACACAGGAAGGTGTGTATGTCCCTCATCATATAGACACAATTTACCTTAATTCCTGTATTATGAGCAGCATTTTCCTTGACTGGTGGTGTACATGTTGCAGTTAACCTTGTTGAAATTGGTATAAAATACCGACAATTTGATAATTAAGACACATGTGTAACAGTTGGGTATCTTTATTGGTAGAAGGTTTCGCCTACAAAGTACACTTCTTCAGTCAAATACAGAGGCAGCAGGTGTAGTAGTGAAACGAAGATGATGTAATCAGTCCATCATTCTTAGAGAAATAGTATGTGAGGTAGTCAGTCCCTCAGCCTGGAGAAGAGTTCAGCTCCATGGTCTAGAACGATATCGTTCCAGTAGTGTTAAGTCAGTAAGTGACCGTTAGTAAGTACGGTTGAGTATTAGTCACTGAGGATTGACACGTATGATGTCATAGACAAGTCTGCACATGTCTAGAGCACCTTCGCTTCTTCTTGCTTCAGGGCAGCAGGCAGGTCAAAAATAAAACAGGGAACCGGTGGGGATTAAACCCATGTCAAGTGAGTCGTAAAACTCACAGTTCAGTGCTGAACAAGGGTAGGTCAAGGGGCTGGCCGACTCGTACATAATAACAGTAATAATAATAATAATAATAATTATAATAATTATATATCAATATTTCTACAAGTACAGGTACAAGGTATACAGGACTAGCCGACATCAATGACATACTACTATATAGAAAGCCGCTTGTTATGCAGCGCATTTCGGGCAAATTAGGCCAGTTTTGTCCCGGGATGCGACCCACACCAGTCGACTAACACCCAGGTACTCATTTTTTATTGATGGGTGAACATAGACAACAGGTGTAAGGAAACACGCCCAATGTTTCAACCCTTGCCTGAACTGTATATCAGTGTATACAAGTGTCTTTCCCACTTCTTGTCAGTATCACTATACCATTTATCAGCTGTCAATACACTCAAGCAGTGCCGCTGTGCATTTTTGTGTCTAAGGAGGAAAGGGTCATGGTAAATTTACATAGCAGCTGTGCTGGAGTTACTGAGGGCTGTTATGTACGAGTCTGCCAGCAGTTTGAATACTGCTATTGGTTATTATTTATCAAACTGTTTTACCCAGCATATTATCTCATTTGATGATCTTGTTAAATTTGTTGAACATACACTCATAGTTGAATGTGTTTTGATTATGATCAGTGGGTACACATGTCTGAACTTCTGTCAGGTTGTCAGAGTTTGTCTTCCACAATGTAACACTCCATACCACGTCTTCATTTGTGAATACAAAGTCTAGAGTATTTTTGTAATTTGGTCAGTTCTGATATGTGGTGGCATAAGACAAATTGATTGTAACCTTAGTAGTTCAGTTGAGTGAGACTGTTGATCATGCAAACTAGTTCCTGAGATTCTCTTTGCTATTACAGTCTCTGATACATTTTTCCACTTCAGGTGTCTTAAAGTGAAGTCTCCAAGCAATAGTATGCTTGCGGCTGGGTTTGATAGATCAAGACGGTACTCAATTTTCGATAGTTGATTTTCAATTTTAATCACTATAGCTTCGACTGCTTAAATAAATAAATAACAAAAAGGCACAATACCGTGACTGGAACGATACACAAATAACCCGCACATAAAAGACAGAAGCTTACGACGACGTTTCGGTCCGACTTGGACCATTGACAAAGTCACAGTGTGACTTTGTCAATGGTCCAAGTCGGACCGAAACGTCGTCGTAAGCTTCTGTCTTTTATGTGCGGGTTATTTGTGTATTCGACTGCTTCATTCCTTGTGTCAAATAACTCAGTGTACACGAGCGACTCTTCAAAGTACTTACACCAACCCTCCCTTGTCTTCAGTGTTTTTTCCCGTTTTATTCCAGGGATCTATATTTCGTTGTCAAAGTAGCCTTTTACGTGAGTCTGAGTAAAGTCTGCAAACACTGCTTCTCACTCGGCGAGGAGGCCCTGGATGAACGGTATTTTATTGTTGTTACTCAATTTAAGACCCTGAATGTTGTGTGTGTCGCTGTGCTGGGGACTTTTTGGTTGAATTTAATATCTGTGACTGGTGAGGCCTCCACTGGCTTTGTTTCCAGTCCACGATGGTTCTTAGGTGGTGACAAAGTCCATTTCTTGCTGATCTTTTCTCTGCCCTGGCATTAAAAAACATTACTGCCTGTACTGTTGCAAGGTCCATGTGCGGTTAAACATCATGTTGCCTTATATGTCTTGTTCCCTACATATGGAGTACCAGGCAGTTTGCATCTACGACGCATTCTCTCTCATTTATCGAATCATTATATATTTTAAAGTGAAAGTATGTGTACGTCTTGGAATAATATACTACTACATTCAAGAGAGCATGACATTCCCTTGTAGTTGTATTGACTCATCGACTCATTGATTTTTCTGATGGCCTTGTTTTACTGTGTCTGGGTTGGGGATCATTTCGTTCAGTGATTGCAACTGACGTATGATGCTATTGAATCTTTAATGGAATCTGTGGTTGAATCAGTACTTGGGCTGGAGACTGTAAGAATAACCTCACGCTCTTCTTCTTGCAGTTATTGCATATTTCTCCATATCTAATACTTCCTTCTCTTCACTCTTTACCTCCCTCATCCATCCCTTTCCTAGTCTATTAACTGAATAAAACATGAAATAAGGTCAACATAGGTCAGTGGTGGGTCATGGTAGAGCCTAACTCCCGCTCCCTCTGCCACCCTCAGAGTAACCACGTCAACACAGTAAGCAATACCCTTATTTTTCTTTTCAAACTTTGTTAACTTTTTCTTGCCTGATTTTTTTTCGTGTAGTGGGGTGTTCATAGTCAGTGGAAGTTAGGTACCATGGGGCTTTGCTGTGTGTGGTGATGGTAGTTACGCGATGAGTGGATTGTGGTAGTTCGTGGCTTGTTGGCTTGTGCTGAGACGGAACGGTAGTGAGGGGGAAGTGGAGGGTAGTTGGCACTAAGGTGGTAGTTTGATTTGTAATGGTAGCTGGTTTAGTGGTTGTTGTACTTATTAGTAGTTATGGGGTACTAGTGGTAGTTATGTGGTGCTAGTAGTTATGTAGTACTCGTAGTGTTATGTGGTGCTAGTGGTAGATATGTGATACTACTAGTGGTAGTTCTAATGGTACATAATGGTAATTATGCGGTACTAGTGATAATGTGGTACTAGTGGTTGATATGTGATACAGCTAGTGGGTGTTATTGGTACTTAGTGGTAGTTATGTAGTATCAGTGGTAAAGTGATAATGTAGAAGCTAGTAATTTGAGTGTAAATAAAGGTAGTTAGGCATTATGTTGTTTTATTCAAGTAATGATAGTTACATACGAGGTAGTAATACAGTATTTTCTAATTGGTAGTTAAGTAGTAATTGGTAGTTTGGTAGGTTTGTGAGTTTTGTGCTTTTCTTCATATTATGTAAGTAATGTAATGTGCATGTAACACACACACACACACACACACACACACACACACAACACACACACAACACATACTACATACATACACACATACACACACATACACACGCGCGCGCGCGCACACACATTGTGATTCGACCCCTGCAACCACAAATAGGTGAGTTCAAACACACACACAAACAAACAAACAACTAGGTGAGTACAGCTCTTGGAGAAAGGAGAGAGTAGACCTAGTAACGACCAGCGAGGAGGCAGGGCCAAGAGCTACGACTCGATCCCTGCAACCACAAATAGGTGAGTACAAATAGGTGAGTACACACACACACACACACACACACACACACACACCACCACACACACACACACACACACAGGGGCCAGGAGCTATGACTCGGCCCCTACAACCACAATTAGGTGAGTACACACGCTAGATATAACTGTGACAAGTATATGTATTGATGTCAGGCTTTCAGCTGTTCCTACCATGATGTTGAATGCTCTGACTTGTGCCTCAAAGCAGCCTTATACTTAACCTCTACTACTGTGGTGCGTGATAACCTCCTCCTCCTCAGTCTCTCGCTACTCTCCAGGAGAAAACTGAAATTCGCTCTCTTCCTCCACTCTTTAGCTGTGTCACCTGAGCGGCTAGGTTAGTGTGCATCCGCAGCTCATCCTGAGTGTTAGTGCAAAGCAGCAACATTACAGAGTCAGACGCTGCTGGGTATTGTTACATCACTGGGAAGAAATATTAATCATTTTGTATTTTATAAATACTTCATATAAATGTTTACACAGTAAAGTAAGGAATACAATCTCAACAAATGGATTTCTTATTACCACTAAAATAAAAAAAATCATTGGTCATAACTGGGCTGCAATCTCTACAAAGACAGTTTGTTGATCTAATCATTGCAAATGTGGATACAACCTCGAGATTTCAAATATATTATTAACAATGAGATGTTTTGTCATATCCTGTAAGATTTGTATATAGGTGTCTCTATAAGGTTGGTCGTTTAGACATAATGTTCCAGTGTATGGCCCTGTCTGTCCACACACTTTACATTTAATGTTTTTAACATCTCCATACAAACTGTACTGCCAGAGAGGCTTATTGCCTAGTCTTAGTTTAGTTTAGTAGTAACAACATCTTGCAGTCATTCACCCCCTTCCTGCCCGGCCCTTACAGCCTGGCGCAGAGGAAGATAGTATTTCATGAAGTTCTGTGGGTCATTCAGTGCAAGGAGCGGTGGAAGTTCAGTCTTTCTTCCACCATGGGTCGGACGAGGAGGAAAAGGCATACATTCACCACAGGTGTTTAGCGGTGAAGAACAAAAAGGCACAATACCATGACTGGAACAATACACAAATAACTCACACATAGGAGAGACAAGCTGATCACAACGTTTCGGTCCGACCTGGGCCATTTACAAGTTACACTTATAAATGGTCCAAGTCGTGCCGAAACGTCGTGATCAGCTTCTCTCTCTCCTATGTGCTGGCTATTTGTGTGGTGTAGTGTTTAGCAGTGTTGACAAGTATTGACTGGTGTTGTGTGTGACAGGTGGGCACCTGGAACAGGAAGACTGGCGCCAACTACACACGCACCTACCAGGACACCTTCAAGAGGATTGTTGATGGTCTCCAGAACAAGACTCTCATTGTCTCCTTCGCTTACGTGAGTTATTCTCTCACTTGTTGCCTTTTGCTCTCTCCATCATTCTTCTCACATTTATTTTTCTTTCCTTCACTTCCGTTGCATTGCCGTCCTCTCTCCTATACATTTCTCCGCCCTGCCTTCTGCTTGCTTGCAATAATTTTCATCTTCATTCGTTCATTTTGCTATGCGTGAGTTATCCCATTATATTGTTGTTTTTCTCCTAGGTTATTTATTATTTTAATTGCTCTTTTGTTTTATAAGATAATTCTTTGTTTTGATCCCCTTAGTTTGTTTCTTAAGATAGTTGTCTTTGCTTTGATCCCGTTCTTTTGTTTTTTTAAGATGGTTGTCTTGGCTTCGATCCCCCTCCTTTTGTTTCATATGATGGTTGTCTTTACTTTGATATCATTCTTTTGTTTTTTAAGATGGTTATCTTTGCTTCGATCCCCCTCCTTTTGTTTCTTAAGATGGTTGTCCTTGCTTTGATCCCCTTCTTTTGTTTCCTAAGATAGTTGTCCTTGCTTTGATCCCCTTCTTGCAAATTCTTTTCGTATTTACTGTTACTCACTTTTATTATTGCATTTTTTTCAATTATTAGTTGTGTTTATTATGAATGTATAAAGAGGTAAGAACTGAGAGCGTGAACTTCTGCCATAACAGAGGTGAGCGAGCACAGTGTTCTTGTGCTCTTGTGACACGGATATTAAGTGAATTGTAACACAGAACTTGCAATGCATCTAAACATAACATATTACACAAGTGTCTCTTGGGTGTCTGGTAACGTTAGCGACATATGAGCAAAGATGATCCGGCACATGATAAGAAAAAATAAGTGACAGTTCTGTCAGCCTCCAGTAGACTCGTTGTAAGTTTTCGATTAGGATTTTTTTTTTTTTTATGCTTTGAGTGCCAGGGGTAGCGTCCTCTCCTTCCGTCCAGTGGGTAGGAAGTTCGTGGCCATGTGCCAGGGGTAGCGTCCTCTCCTTCCTTCCAGTGGGTAAGAAGTTCGTGGTCATGCATTTCTTCCATCTTCATATAATTCTACCTGAGCTAACACACAAACTGGAAATAGTAATAATGTTGGTAAAATTACCAACATTATGTTAGGTAAAAGGAGACAAGTGCAGCTAATGCGACATTTTATTGTGGCAACTAACGCTACATATTTTTGTGGCCACATTAATGGTCGCAGTAGTCGCACTGTGTCCTAACAAACTGGAAATAAAAGCTGGGCGATGTTTATGTTCATCCTGGACTATTATCAACAACTATTATATTCATGGGGAAGCGCTGAAGAACCATCAATTTGTTAGTCCAGAACGAACAGAACTGTTATCCTGTTTTTTTTTATAAATTGTGGATTAGTTGTTAATTGTTGCACCCATTAGATTGAACTTTACATACTTGCTGTTACGTCTTGTCAGAACGACCCGTACATCATGCTGAAGGAGAGCTCTAAGCAGCTGACCGGTAACGACCGCTTCGAGGGCTTCTGCATCGACCTGCTCAACGAGATTGCCAGCATACTCAAATTCAACTACACTCTGGTGTCGGTACCAGATAACAGCTATGGCAGCAAGGATAAAGTCTCTGGCGAGTGGAACGGCATGATCAAGGAGCTGCTGGAACAG